CCTAATGTAGAACTAAGAGTAGATACAATTAACTTAAACTTGACATTTAAATCTTGGTTAAAACAAACAAACCAAAAAAGAGTAGAGAATACTTTCTGTGCTTTAGTATTCAGAGAATAAAACTGTGTCACAGTGAGAGAAATTCTTCTGCTTCGAAAACGCTCCCTCCTATGTTCTACCGTGAAAAAATAAAGCTGTGGGGCTTCCCCGGTGGCGCAGTGGTTGGGAATCTGCCTGCCGATGCAGGGGACGTGGGTTCGTGCCCCGGTCCGGGAGGATCCCACATGCCGTGGAGCGGCTGGACCCGTGAGCCGTGGCCACTGAGCCTGCGCGTCCGGAGCCTGTGCTCCGCAACGGGAGAGGCCACAGCAGCGAGAGGCCCGCGTACCGCAAAATAAATAAATAAATAAATAAAGCTGCATATTCTTCCTCAGAAACCTGAATCCTGAAATTGGCCATTATGAGGATCCCACACACAGAGTGATGTCCGATTAGAGGCTTCAAATAGCTATTCACATACGTTGACTGTTTTCTGTGCGTTTGTAATGAGGACCCAGCCAGGGTTGATGTCCTGGAAATCCCTGGGGCTCTCCCTGAAATCTGTGGGTTGAACGTGGCGTTTAGTCATGTAGCTTGTGTTGTGTGTTTCAGAGTAGGGTCCAAACCAGGCAAGGTGTGAGCGGACGCGTCCATTCCTGCTCCAGTTCCCATCAGGGTCCGGTCCTCGTTACCTGTCGCATTTCAGCATGCAACGCTGAGGCAGCCACACGTGGGTGTGGAGGACACAGGCCAGGACCGTCTCTGGAGAGATTCTGAGCGGCAGAGACAACCGGCGACAGCCATTCAGGCGCGATGGAGACAGCTGGTCACAAAGTCCTCTGTGCCGCGCACATGCAGGACACAGCCCGCCTGTCCTTACCTCGGTTCCATCCGGTCTGTCCTTCTATGCTAGTGACTGCTGGGGACCTCGAGCAGGTGCGACTGAAGTCGCTCAGGGCAGTGGATGTGCCCACAAAGGGCAGCAGGAGGGGGCTCTTTGGGGTGATGGACTTGCTCTGTATCCTGATTGTGGTGGTGGCTACACGGACCATACATGTGTTGAAATTCATTTTTTACAGCATGTTAATTTTTTAGAAGTCAATTTTACTGCATGCAAAAAAATTTTTTTAATAGGAAGATCTTTCCTATGAAGATCTGCCTGGTCACTTAAGTGTTTGAGGTGCTAAGACATCTGACTGGTTAAATGACACTACTCACAATTTTGAGTGTTCTCATGAACGTCATTAATCGGTCAATGTTGTTAAAGTTTAGCGGTTTTAATTTGCCAAATTTGTGCAAGAAGAGGCCGCAGCAGCTGTTGCAAATACATGTAGAGAAAACAACAATAAGATACCACGACACACGCCCTGGTGTGAATGCAAAACGGTGCGGCCACTTTGGAAGACAGTCTGCTGCTTTCCTGTAAAGCAGACCATAACCTTACCATGGGATCCAGCAATCGTGGTCCTTGGTGTTTACCCAAAGGAGCTGAAAACTTGTTTCCACACAGAAACCTGCACACAGATGTTTACAGCAGCTTTATTCATAACTGTCAAAACTTGGAAGCAACAAAGATGTCCTTTAATAGGTGAGTGGATAAATAAACTGTGGTCCATTGGACAATGAAATATTATTCAGCACTAAAAAGGAATGAGCTATCAGGCCATGACAAGCCATGGAGGAACCTTAAATGCATATAACTAAGTGAAAGGAGCCAATAAGAAAAGGCCACAGACTGTATGCTTCCAACCTTATGACATTCTGGAAAAGGTAAAACTATGGAGACAGTGAAAAGATCAGGGGTTGATGAAGGAGGGGCGAACAGGTGGCGAGCAGGGGACTTTTAGGGCAGGGCCCTGGGTGGTACTGTCTACAATAGCAGACTCGTGTCATTGTACATTTGTCAAAACCCACAGAATGTACAACACCAAGGTGAACCGTACTGTGAATCATGGGTTTAATTAATAATAATGTACAATACTGGTTCATCAATTGTAACGAATGTCCCAAACTAATGCCTGGTGCCGGGGAGGCTGGGCACGTGCGTGTGTGAGCTCCCGTACTTTCAGCTCCATTCTTCCCTAACCCTAAAACTGCTCTAAAGAAAGTCTACTAATGATCTTTAAAATGCATATAAAGTTTAACACAAGAACTGCTGGCTTATAAGAAATCCCCTTACTCGATTTGTAATTTACGTGTAAGGATTTCATGGGTGCTGGTTGTAAATGGCCCGAAGCAGGCTCAGGTCTCCCGCCTCCAAAAATGCACCCAAAGGCCAAGGCGCCCCAGGCCCAGGTCTTGCGCGGCATCAGCCCCCGCCCGCCCCCACCGCCCCCGGCCCACCTGCCCGCCGCTCCCCCGCCGCCCCGCGCCCGGCGACTGGGAAAGGTCACTGCACGGGCCGACACCCCGCAGGTCCCGCCCGCCGCCCCCGCGGGGGTCCCCTTGTCCCCGGGCGCCCGACCCCAGCGGGCCCGCCGAGGGGCGCCGCCGCGGCGGTGGGGGCGGGCGGGCGGCCGGGGCGACAGCTGGGGGGGCGGCCCTGACCTTCCCGCGCGATCGATGGGGCGCGGCTCGGGCGGCGCGGAGCCGGGGCGGCGCCGACCCCCGCCCGCCCCGCTCCCGCTCCCGGGCGCCGCTATAAAGGGGCCGCGGCCCCACGGCCGCTCAGCCCCCGCCCGGCGCCCACCATGGCCACTCGGGCCCTGCTGCTGCTGCTACTGCTGCTGCCGCCGCCGCTGCTCCGGGGCTGCGCCGCGCGCCCCGCGCCCCCCAGGTGAGCCCGCGGCCCCGGGCCCCGCGCCCGCCCGCCCCCACCCCGCCCCGGCCCTGACCACCCCCCCCGGCCCCCTCCGCGTCCCCTCCGCAGGGCCCCGCGACACTCGGACGGGACTTTCACCAGCGAGCTCAGCCGCCTGCGGGAGAGCGCGCGGCTGCAGCGGCTGCTGCAGGGCCTGGTGGGGAAGCGCAGGTGAGGGTCAGCGGGATGGGGGTGGACCTGCCACGGCGCTCCCCAACTCCAGACTAATTCTGACTTGGGGTGGGGAGCAGCGAGCAGGACACAGAGAACAGCACAGCCTGGACCAACTCTGCGGAGGGCCACCTCTGCCTGCTGTGGTCGGACGCGCCCACCCTGCAGGCCTGGTGAGCACCAGCCCCATCCCCCATCCCCCATCCCCTGCCCCATAGCCTCCCTCCCTGGGGCACCCCAGGTCCCGGGCACAACTGGACACAGCAATGGCCCAGGGGTCTGGGAGGGTGAAACTGTCAGCGCTGGTGACCAGAAAAGGCCCAGTTTCGCCGGGTGGGCAGCGGTCTCCAGCACCAAGACCCCAACCCCTAACCTGGCTGTCTCTGCAGGATGCCCCTGAGGCCCCCCGAGGATCAGGCCTGGTCTCCCCAGATGCCTCTTGGACTGAGGGCTGGGGTCATGGTGTCAGAGCCGGCCATCCCTGCTGCTGAGGGGACCCAGAGGAGGCCCTGAGGAAGAAGGAACCTCCCAAGGGGAGCCTGGACAGGGGAGGGGGGCGGAGGAGGGGGGGTTGCAGTTGGCACCAATAAAGGAGCAATTCAGACCCTGGCCCTGTGAGCCCGCTCTGTGCGCCGTCTGGGTACCATCGAGGAAGCTGCTGCAGGGCACGGCTGCCAGAGGGAAGGAGAGACCCATCCTCGGGATTCTAGGACGGTGGCTATGCCCACCTGCCCTTTCAACCTGGGAAGCCAGCAGGGAGCCTCATCTTTCCGCTTCCTTCTCTCCTGCCCCATCCACTGAGCTCCCAGGAAGCCGCCCGGCACCTCTGGCATCCACACAGCAAACATTCAGGGGCTCTGGGAGATGTCCCCTAGATCCTGCCCCGGGGGGCAGCGGTGAGGGGGCAAGGAGGCTCGGCCAAGCAGGAAGAGGCGACAGGCAGGACCCAGGAGGCCACTCCCCAGTGAAAGGACCTGAGCATGAGTCCTGGCTCTCGGTCCAGGCGTGCAGTCTGGATGGGCGGCTTGACCTCCCGGGGCCTGTGGAGCAGGGCCGGTGATGACACCCCAAGTGCCAGGCTGCAGGAGGCCTTGTAGGACCACGGGCTCAGGGTTGCTCTGCGAAGGTGTTTCAGGCGCGCATGGCCTGGGGCCTGGAGGTGCGAAGGGCTCCACCGGACCCATCACAGCAGCCCCTCCCCCACCCAGTGTCCTCTCCCAGCTGCTGGGCTTAGGGGGCTGAGGAAAGATGGAGGTGGGGCAGTTGGGGGCCTCTGCCATGGGCCCCTCACAAGGATGCCCCTCTGTCGGGGCCCAGGGTCCCCCCCCAGCTGCCAGCTGCCCCGAAGCACTGCCATCCTTGTCACTGTGACCCCGCCCAGCCCCCTGGAAGAAGCTGGCTTGTTTCTGGGACAGGCAGGGGAGTCCCTAGGACGCATATAACCTTTCCCCTCCAGACCTGTCCCCTAAACTCGGGGACAGGAGGTGGGCCCGGAGGGGAACACCTGCGGCCTGAGCCTGAACCTCCCGGGCCGCCTTAGGAGCTGTGCCCACGAGGGTTCTGGCAGAGGGGCCCAGCAGAGGGCCATCCCGGGTTGGGGGGCAAGTACAGCAAACACAGAGGCCCACCCCAGCCCCAGCCCGCCCAGGCCCCCAGTGCCCGCCCACCAGCTCTGGGTTCCTCTGTCTTGGGGTCCGTGGGTTGAGCCCCCGTCAGCCCCTGCATGTGGCCTGGTTCCGGCCGGGTAACCACCTGGTCTGCCCCTCCTGGCAGCCGGCGAGGCCTGGCCGGCGGCCGGCGGGGGCCCCCTTGGTGGAGGCCAGTCCTGCGGTTGGTTGGCGGCAGTCGTTGTAAAGGGTCATAAAGTGGGGCGGCGCCTGGCAGGGGCGAAGGTCGCCCCGGCAGAGACTGCGCCAGCAGCACAGCCGCTCAGAGGGTCCCAGACGCCAGACGGGCCCACAGCCTCCCCCGGGGCCGCCCGCCTGCCGAGATGGTGACTTGGGCCCTACTGCTTCCTCTGCTCGTGGCCGTGGCCCAGGCCCAGGGTACTGGGGGCAGTGGCAGAGGGGCGGGGTGGCAGGCAGGGGCCTGGCAGGCACCGACCCTTCCTCTCCAACTTCCAGTCTGCTCTGTGGAAAAGAACTTCTTCGAAGTCAGTGAGAACACGAGTCCCGGGCAGCTACTCCTCAACATCACCGTCCCTGAGGGCCAGCAGGTGACCCTCGGACCCTCGCCCACCCGCTTCGCATTTCGGATCCAGGGGACTCAGCTGTTTCTCAATGTGACCCCGGACTACGAGGTGTGGATGGCAGGCCCAGGGCTGGCTGTGCCCATGGGGTCAGCAGGGGTGGCCGACCCTCCATGGGCCCCAGGCGGCCACCCACACTCTTCCCCAGAGAAGGGCTCTCTGGGGATCTTTGGGTCTCAGTTTGCCCAGGGGGCCTCTCGGGCCCCCAGGCTTGGCTGAGGGCTGGCCCTGAGGGGGTGGGGCCCTCGGGGGACGAAGCTGCCTGGGCCCCGCCGCCCTCTGGACTCAGCATGGGTGACAGGGACCCTTGGCCAGCACCTGCTGCTCTCACCCTCTGTCTCCTCACCTGTGGAATGGGGCGGGGGTTGGGCCAGCTTCCCAGGTGATTCCCACACCTGCCCGCCCCCGCAGGAGAACTCAATGCTGGAAGCAGTCCTGGAGTGCAAGAGGGATGACACTGTGGTGAGTCTGCCCCTCAGACCCCCTCAGGCATCCCCACATCCCCACCCTCCCTGTGATGTCAGAGGGCTCCGGCTTGGACCTCTGTGCCCTGCTCTGCCTGACCCACGGTCACTACCTGGTGACCTCACCCAGTGGTGTGTTTCAAGTGTCACCTCTGTGCCGGCAACGCCCACACTTCCCCCAGCCCAGACTGTGCCTCGAGCCGCAGACTCACAAACCCGGCCCCGGACGGACATCACACCCCACAGACACCCCCACCCCGAGATCCAAGGCCCCCCCAAAGGCGCCTCGCCCTGCCAGCTCAGTCCTCACTTCCCCCTCCCCACGCCGGTCCTCCAGCAAATCTGCCGGCCGACTGGGCCTGACACCAGCATCTTCCGCTGGTCCATCTGTTCCCCTCTTGGCCCCGCCCACCCCAGTCCACTCTCCGAATGGCAGGAGAACGATCCTATCCGGTAAAGCAAGCAGCGGTCCCTGCCCTCCCAAATAAAGCGAATGAAGGCCCAGCGGCACGCCGCGCCCCCAGCCCCCCACCCCGGCTGCTCCCTGTCACCTCCTCGGAGAGGCGCCCGCCTCCCTGGCCCCTCGCACCAGTCAGCCCTGTGGTCTCCCTGAGCCCCGTGGGTCCCCCCCGCCTGACGTCACAGCACACCACCCACAAATACCTCAGGATGAGCCTCTGGCGGACAAGGCCGCTTCTTCTTAACGCGGTAGTGTTGTCACGTCCGGAAAAGGCAGGGGCTCCTCAGCAGCGCGGCATCCAACGCCCACACCCCACCAGCTCCAGAGCGGTCGTTCAGTCTCCTGCCAGCAAGGTCCACCCAGTGCAGCTGGCTGATGTTTCTCTCACGTCTCTTTCAACACATGGTGTCCTGATTTTCTGTGAGACTTATGCTTGAAGAAATTCAATTGTTTTGCCGTTTTCCTCATTTGGGGTTTTGCTGGTTGCGCCCCCAGTGCCTGCGTTATTTTTCTCCAGGGCATTCGCACCTTCTGTGCTTTAAAAAAATTGCTTTCTGTTCCTTGTCCGTAACGCCTGCTGGAGCGGGAGCCCCAGGCAGAGAGCTGTCTTGGGAACTGTACCCCAGCGCCTAGAATGAGCTCACGCCGCTGGGCCGGGGACCCTCCTCCCTCCCCCAGGTGACCAGCCTGAGGGTGTTTGTGTCAGTGCTGGATGTCAACGACAACCCGCCCAGGTTCCCCTTTGTAGTCAAGGTCCAAAGGGTGCCAGAGGTGAGTGGAAGGGAGCAGCAGTTCACACCATCTGGGGCATCTGGCGCCTGGGATGGGGGGCAGAGGGCTAGTGGCTGGGGGTCTCACCCTGGGGACACGGGCGTGGCCAGACCAACCCCCCTCCGTACCCCAGGACACTAAAGTGAATGCCGTCGTCATCCCCGAGACAGAGCTGAAGGCCCAGGACCTCGACAAAGATGACGTCCTGTTCTACACCCTCCAGGAAGTGACCCCGGTCAGTGCCCCCAGCCCTCCCCTTTGGGTATCCCCACCTCTGCGTGTCCTCCCGGGGTCCCAGGCTGAGTCCCCCACCTCCCTAGGGTGCCAGCGGCTTCTTCTCTTTGGTGGGTGCGAACCGCCCAGAGCTGCGGCTGGACCGGTCACTGGACTTCGACAGGTGGCCGAACATGACCTTCCAACTGCTGGTCCGGGTGAGCAGGCCACTCCCGCCCTCATCCCGGATGCCCACGGCCCCACCCGAGCCGCTCCAGCCACAGGCCCCCAGGCCTGACGGCAGGGCTGCGGTGCTGCAGGACACGCGAGAGGAGAACGTGGAGCCCAGACACACGGCCACAGCCACCTTGGTCCTGGAGGTGCGGCCCGCCGACCTGCGGGCCCCCTGGTTCCTGCCCTGCACATACTCTGACGGTTTTGTCTGCGTCGAAGCCCAGTACCACGGGGCTGTGCCCACAGGCCACACACTGGTACGGGGGCCGTGGAGGACCAGGGCAGCATGAGCACGGGCCTGGCTGCCGTGGGGTCAGAGTGGATTGTGATTTTCAAGCAAATGTGAACGATTTTTCGTAAACCAATCTTGCCCCACCCCATGGTGGCAAGTGGGACACAGGGCCTCTGAAATTCAAATGAGGAAACAGGGTCCAGCTGTCCTCAGGGCAGAGCCAGCCAGGCCCCTGGGACCCAGTGAGGGACCCCAGGGACCGACCTGGGTCCCTGACTGCCCCCTGGGGCTACTCCAGATCTCCTTGAGGGGAGCGGGAGGGGCACCAGCTCCACGGCGTACCCTCCCCTCCCTGTTCCCGCAGTCAGGACCCCTCATCCTGCATCCTGGGCCCATCTACGCCGTGGACGGGGACCGGGGCATCCATCAGCCCATTGTGTACAGCATCATCAGGGGTGAGTGGGCACCAGCCCCCAACTTCTCTCTCCATGCAACACCCTGACCCCGTCCCCACATGGGCAGAACCAGCTGTGACACTGGGACCTCAGGCCTCCAGAGGGGACTGTGGCCAAACCGTCCTGCCGTCCTCCCAGGAAACGAGGATGGCTCGTTCTCCATTGATGCCAACACAGGCAACCTCACCATGACCAAGAGCATCCCCAGCCCCAAGACCTTCCTTCTGCTGGTCAAGGTGGGTGCCCGCACAGGGCCAGGTCTCCACAGGCCCTTCCTGGGCCCCTGGCTACAGGGCTCACCCTTCAAGGACCTGCTGGTCACTGCGGCCTCTCCAACCCCCAGGGCGAGCAGGCGGATCACGCCAGGTACTCGGTGACCCAGGTCACGGTGGAGGCCCAGGCCGCCAGCGGGAGCCCGCCCCACTTCCCCCAGAGCCTGTACCGCGGCACCGTGGCGCTCGGCTCTGGGGTAGGCGTGGCCATCAAGGATGCAGCTGCCCCCTCCCAGGCTCTGAGGATCCGGGCCCAGGATCCTGAGTTCCCAGTAGGCACCGCCTGGTCCCTGGGTCTGCCCGGCCTCCTGCCGTGGGGGGGTTGGAGCGGTCTGGGGAGCAGCCTGGGCTCAGGACTCACTGGGGCCACGTCCAGGACCTCAACTCGGCCATCACGTATCGGGTCACCAACAACTCTAACTTCCGGATGGACGGGGAGACCATGCTGACTGACGCTTCGCTGGTGCACGCCGGGGTCTTCTACGCAGAGGTGAGAGGCGGGCAGCATCTCCGAGGGCCAGGGGTCAAGCTGGAGCCCAGGAGGGACAAGCCCCCTTCCTGCCCAGGTTGAGGCCAGGAACACGGTGACCTCAGGCACAGCGACCACGGTCGTGGAGGTTCAAGTCTCAGAACAGGAACCCGCCCCCACAGGTGAGCCTCCCAGGGACCCCGGGTCGGCTCGGGGAGGGCTTCTTGCTAGGAGGAGTGGCGAGCCTGAGCCCTGGCCCTGGCCCCAGGCCCCCCCCCGTCCCCAGAGACAGCAGGAACAACCAGAGCCTCCAGCGGCACCACGTCGGAAGCCCCTCGGCCCCCTGAGCCCTCTTGGGGGTCCTCCACGACCAGCTCTGGGGGCGACAGCAGCCCGCGCCCCTCCTCAGGCACAACTCTGAGGCCTCCGGCCTCCTCCATGCCTGGGGGGCCCCCCAGTGCGGGAACCAGCCCCTCCTTGCCATCAGCCTCACCCAGTGGGGGCTCAGCACAGACCTCAAAGCCAGGAACCTCTCTGCCAATGTCCCCTGGACCCAGCAGGACCACCCGGCCTACAGGTAGCACCACCATGTACCCTAGTTACCTTCATGCTCTCTGACTCAGGACTCTGGGCGGTCGCTGTGGGGTAGGGTCCACCCCAGGTCGGCCCAGCACGACCATGGGGACCACGAAACCCCAAGGGGGGGTCTGGCAAAGAGACAGGTCCTGGGGGGCCCCAGGAGGTAAGCTAGGGAAGATGTGTGGAGGGTGGGGCAGAGGCCAGGCTTAGGATCCAGTGACCCCCCCAATTCCCAGGGCCATTCAGCCCACGGGCCCCGTGCTACCCTCAGCTCCCTGCCTGGCACGTTGGCCCCCTACCACCCACCTGGAACTGGTGGGCACTGACCCCCTCCCCGCTCCCAGTAGCCCGGCCTATCGGGGCTCCCTGGCGGGGGTCAGTGGCGCCCACTCCTCCAAACGTCATCTCCGGTGGCCAGGCCTAGCCTGCTCTTCGGGTGTCCCGAGCTTGCCCCAGGCTGGCCCGGGAGTGCTTGCGGTGGGACAGCAAGCGGGCAGCGGTGTTGCCAGCAGGGACGCCTGGGACCGGAGGAAGCAGCCCGCCAGTGGGTGGCAGTTCAGACGCAAGCCGCTTCTCGGTGGTGGATATGGCGGCGCTGGGCGGGGTGCTGAGCGCGCTGCTCCTTCTGGCTCTCGTCGCCCTCATAGTCCTCGTCCACAAGCACTACGGCCACCGACTCAAGTGCTGCTGTGGCAAAGCGCTGGTGAGGCCCTCGGGGTGGGGGAAAGGACAGGAGAGAGGACGGGGGGCGGTGGAGAAGCGGCAGGATGGAGAGAGAGGCAGCGTGGAGGCCAGGAGTCCATCCGGGAGATGCAGGGCAGAGGTGAGGAGGGACGGGGCATACACACCATAGCCCACAGATGGGGGGAAGGGCAGAGAGAGGCAGAGCGTCTAGCCGCCTGTCTCTGGGGGAACAGGGGTGGTCTGAGCCCAGGCCTGGTCTGGTTGATTGCTGGTTCCCGCCTGCCCCCCAGGAGCCCCAGCCCCAAGGCTTTGACAACCAGGCCTTCCTCAACAACCCCGACGAGGCCAGCTGGGCGCCGGCTCCTAGCCCCTCATCCAGTCCCGTCCCGCCAGCTCCCCCAGAGCCTGCACCCCCAGAACCCAAGCCCCCCGGCCCGGAGACCCTCCGCCGAGTCGCCGAGTCCCCTACGGTGGCCCTGGATGGGGACGGCCCGGCCGCTGTGAGGTCCATCCTGACCAAGGAGCGGCGGCCTGAGGGTGGCTACAAGGCGGTGTGGTTCGGCGAGGACATCGGGGCCGAGGCCGACGTGGTGGTCCTCAACACGCCTGCCTCGGAAGTGGACGGTGCTGGCGACGAGGGCAGCGAGGGCAGCGGCGACGAGGGCGCAGAGGCGGGCCTGCGCGGGGGTGCCCAGGACGCGCCTCGCTCCGACTCCGTCTACCTCTAGTGTGGCCGCCCCTCCTCTCCCGGAGAGTCTGGGTCACTGCAGTCGGCTTGGTGGCTCTCCCCCGACTCCATTGCGCAGAATAAAGTGACATTTTCGGATCTGCTGGGACGCGTGGGGTCTGCCCCAAGGGGCTGCCAGTGGGGGCTGTCAGGACGTGGTCCATTTGCTCCCGCCCTGCACTGAGTCCTCCTCAGAGGGACCGCCAGGGGCGCCGTGGGGGCGGAGAGGGGTGGGCGGGGTCGTTCCCTGCCCAGAGCACTGGGTGCCGTTTCCCGTAAACCACCTGCTGCGCCCGCGGGGCTTCCCAGGCTCGGTGCCAGCTGGTGGCCAGGAAGTTCCTCTCCTTGTCTAACCACAACTGACCCAACACAGAGATTCTTCCCCTGGGGGAGGCAGAGGAGCCACCTGAGGACACTCACTTGGGAGAGCATGGGCCCGGGGACCTTCCAGGGGCTCACACTCCTGCGTCTGTGGGCTACAGTGAGGGCAGTAAACACGCTGGGGTGCCCTCGGAGGCACGTGGTCCAGGTGGCTGGGCTGTGACGGGCGGTGCGGGGTGGAGGCGGGTGGTTTGGCCCAGTGTGACAGTGGCCTGCAGGCCCTGGGCCCCGGGCAGCAGGTGGGGCCAGTGGGTGCACAGGACAGAGGCTGTGGACGCGACCCAGAGCCACGGAGTTGGGGACCGAGCCCCCTCCACTGGCTTCCTCAGGGGCGACCCTCAGTCAGGACTTCAGCCCCGACCACCGCCACTGTCCCTTATGCATCACTGGCGTTTTTTCCTCACGAAAAGGCATTTCCGATTCCTTTCCAAATATTTTAATCTCGATAGTATTTGAGTATTCTTGCCTGGACAACTGTCACTGGTAAGAACCCAAAGAGCACAGCTGCATCTCCTCCCACGCACCCCCCTCACCCGCTCGTCCGCTCAGGAACCTGACTGGTTTTATTTCCGATCCCGGGGTCCCCAGCTTATCCCACTGCTTCTCCCACCACGTTGGTTGCTGGCGCCCCAGCCCCCCGCAGCGCTGGGTGAGGGAGGGCAGCGGCTGGACTCCGAAGGGGCTGTGCCCTGCGGCAGCCAGGACCCCAGTGCCGCCCCCGCCCGCGGGAGCACGTGACTTCCCCGGCCCCGGCCCCGCCTCCGGCCCCCGCCACCATAAAAGCGCTTGCTCCGGAGCCCCAGCGAAGCCGAAATTTCCCGCGCCGGCGGTGCCACTACCAGGTACTCGGGACTCCCAACCCACGCGGAGCGAGAAAGGCAGCGACGGCCGCGTCGGACCCCAGGTTCGCTCCGCGGAGCAGTGACCAGGAGGGGGCGGGCAGAGCGGGTGACGGCGAGGGGCACGGGTCCGGAACTGGGGGACCTGGAGGCGGAGATCGCGGTGACGCGCGGGGTGGGGCGGGTTAGGTTTCGTTTTCCCGCAGCGCGCGGTTTCGTTTTCCTACGGCCGTTCCCGTCGCGCCCCCGCAGGGCCCAGCCCGGACGCCGGCTCGACACCTGTGGCCCCTCGTGTGCCCGAGGCCCCGCCGCATCTGTAGCCACACCCATCGCCTCCTTGGCCAGGACTCACCTGGGCAACACCGTGGCCAGAAGTCCTCAACTTCCGTCTGTGATCCCAACACTTGGGACCCCAACACCCGGGACTACCTGCGGAGACTCACGCGGAACCCTCCTCTCACCTGCGCTATCCCCCGACTGCCCCCGCGACCCCAGCCCTCGCCGCGGAGGGCGCGCCGCTCTCTCTACGCCCAGCCCTTGCGGAGGGAGCAATGGCCGTGGCTCCCGACGGGTGAGCCCGCCGCGCTGCCCGCTGCCGACCCCACCCACGCCCCCGGTGGCCCGCGCGCGCCCTGACGCCCGGCTGCTCCGCCCGCAGGGGGACCCCGCGCGTGCTCTTCGGAGACTGGCTTCTGGGCGAGGTCAGCAGCGGCCGCTACGAGGGACTACGGTGGCTGGACGCGGCCCGAACGCGCTTCCGCGTGCCCTGGAAGCACTTTTCGCGGAAGGACCTGGGAGAGGCCGACTCGCGCATCTTCAAGGTGGGACCCCAGCCCCGCCCGGGGCGGGGGAGGGCCGGTCCAGGCCCAGGCCCGAGTGTCCGGTCCGCGTAATCCACTCAGTCTCTCTCCCCAGGCCTGGGCTGTGGCCCGCGGCAGGTGGCCTCTCCGCAGCAGCGCAGGTGCCCGGCCTACCGCTGAGAGTGCGCTCCGAGCTTCCTGGAAAACCAACTTCCGCTGCGCGCTGCACTGTACGCGGCGCTTCGTGATGTTGCAAGACAACTCGGGGGACCCTACCGACCCTCATAAGGTGTACATGGTCACCCCCGGGCCGGCGTGCGGAGGTGAGGAGGCCACGGCAGGGCTGCCGGCAGGGAGACTTGGCTCTGTCCTGGGAGCAGCCGCTGGGTCGGATTTTCGGTTTTAGAAAACTGGCATGAGAGAGGCTGGTGCCAGATTGCTGGGGGATGGCGGGGCCGGGGTGAGGGCGTGTGGCGCGGCTAGCGGGGACTGGGGATTGCTGGGAGGAAGCTCATAGGCCTGTTGGGATCAGTGAAGGAGAAGTGCGGTTGAGCTTTGAGGAGCTGCCCAGGGATTCACACCTAGGTGTCCCACTCCAGAGTCACAAATCCAGTGTTCCCCCAACCCTAATTCTCCCTCAGAAAGCCCAAGCATTATTAGCCAGGGGGAGGACAAGGCCCTTGAAGATGCCCCACCTACAAGGGTAAGGTCACTGCCCTCTTGGATTCCACCTTGGGGCTGCCCCCTCTCACTGGGCTGGGGAGCTGCTGAGTTATGCTGGGACTGTCTGTCCTCTCCTGCAGGATGGGCTTCTGGGGCCATACCTGGCAGCAGATGCTGGCGAGAGGCTGGGGCATGGGCTGGCCGGGCTGAGCCCTGAGCCCTGTGCCCCAAGCCCAGCTGGAGATGCTGGGGACCTATTGATCCAGGCTCTGCAGCAGAGCTGCCTGGAGGACCATGTGCTGAAAGCTGCGTGTGGGGTGGAGCCGATAGCCCCTGGGGCTCCTGGTGAGGGGCTGTTGGAGGGGGATGCTCTGCCCTGCAGAATCCTGTGTGCCAAGGGGAGGAACAGGCAGGACAGCAGAGTCTCCGGGGAGAGAGGGCTCGGGGGAGGGGGGTGCCCAGCAGGGACGGTGCTGGCCAGAGGTGGGCCACCATCCCTGCTGGGCACAGCTGAGCCTCCTCAGGTCCAGAGCTCCCTGCTTGGGAGTTATGCCCGCCACAGTAAATGTGGCGCCCCAGCCCCAGGCCCAGGGGACAGGAGCTAGGGGACATGTGGAAGGAAATGGGAGGAGCTGGCGGCTCGGGTGCCAGCTCAGGCCTGCCTTCCTCTCCAGACACAGGCCCACCCCCAGCCCCCTGGCAGCCGCGAGAGGCGGAGCCCCGCACCACAGCCTCCCCCAGTGCCTGCACCCTGATGGCAGGGCATCTACACGTGGCTGGTCCCACCTGCTCACAGCTCGGTCTGCACACACTGCCCAGCTTGGGGGCCCTGGACTTGACCATCACGTACAAGGGCCGAACAGTGCTGCGGGAGGTGGTGGGGCGCCCGAGCTGTGTGCTCCTGTATGGCCCCCCCGATGTAGGTGGTGGGGCTTCAGAGCACCAGCGAGTAGCCTTTCCTAGCCCCGCCGAGCTGCCCGACCAGAAGCAGCTCCACTACACAGAGAAGCTGCTGCAGCACGTAGCCCCCGGCCTACAGCTGGAACTCCGGGGTCTCAGGCTGTGGGCCCGGCGCCTGGGCAAGTGTAAGGTCTATTGGGAGGTGGGAGGGCCCCTGGGCTCGGCCAGCTCCTCCACCCCCGCCCGCCTGCTGCCCCGGAACTGCGACACCCCCATCTTTGACTTCAGCACCTTCTTCCAAGGTCAGTGATGCACCTGCCCTGGGGCTGAGGGCCTCCCCGCCTCCCCCCACCCCCCCTCACCAAAGCCCTGTCCTGCAGAACTGGGGGAGTTTGAGGCCTGCCGGCGCCGGGGCTCCCCTCACTACACCATCTATCTGGGCTTTGGGCAGGACCTGTCAGTGGGAAGGCCCAAGGAGAAGAGCCTGGTCCTGGTGAAGGTGAGGTGGAGGGTCCCTGGGGTGGGGGTGGGGGGAGGGAGGGAGGCTGCACACAGCCCTCCCCCCACCTGACCGCGCCCTCCCCACAGCTGGAGCCATGGCTGTGCCGGGCATACCTGGAGGGCGTGCAGCGCGAAGGCGCGTCCTCTCTGGACAGCGGCAGCCTCAGCCTCTGCCTGTCCAGCTCCAACAGCCTCTATGATGACCTGGAGCACTTCCTGGAGCACTTCCTGATGGAGGCGGAGCAGCCCGGCTAGGCTGGGTCCCCAACCCCTCCCAATCTAATAAAAAGATCCCAAGAACCAGTGCTGGTGTCCTGACCAGGGGCAGGCTTGAGACTGAGGCTTGGGAGGGGCACTGTGGATGCGAGGTTCACCCCACTTCACGGGAAGCCCGTGACCTGTGGGCCCAGGAAGGGAGCCCCCTGCCCCGCCCACGTTGGCCTCCTGTGCACACCCATTCTCCTGACTTCACAGTGAAAAAACTCAGGGCATGCTTTAGAGCCAACAGACTGCTCCAAGAGCGCAAGGGCCCCTCAGGACACGTGTTCCCCAGAGGGGGCAGCACCTGGGGCCCCTCTGCCGTGAACAGGGCTCCCCATCTGTGCTGTGCCCAAGGCCTGTCCCTGGCCTTCGAGACCCGCCAACACTGCTGTGCCTGGGAGGGGGCGGACCTAAGTGAAACCCGAGCGATTACTTATAAAACACAACGAGCAGACGAGGGAATCCTGGGACCAGATGGTTGCCCGTGGGAGAAGCGCCACCCGCCCGCCCGCCCGCCTGCGGTTTCTCATCACCAAAGGCTTCGCCTTTCAAGTACTGAGCCAATCAAGACATTTCTAAAGATAATCCGTTTTTGATAAATTAGAACACAATGGGAACAGTGTGTGTCTATAATATACATATAAAAGTCCAGTTTTAAACTGTGAGCAAGACAGGTGCACAGACCACGTGCGATCACAGGAACCCTGGAAACGGGAGGGCGAGTGGCCCGGAGTTTTCTGCTTCGGCTACTCCAGCCAGAAGGGCCCCGGGCAAGCCTCAGCCCTCGGCACCCTGGGCAGGCGGCTCCTCACCGGCCTCGGCCCGCCGGTGTCTGCGCATATGCCTGTACTTGTCCACGTAGGCCTTCACCAGGTTGCCCACCTTCACGGGGTTGATCTCCCCACTCTTGCTGTGGCAGATCTGGGGGAGTGGGGCACAGTTACCCGGATGTCCCTGCACACCCGCGTGGTCAGGGATCATGGGGATGGAGCGCTGGGGAGCACGCCATGAGGGACAGCAGGCGGCCTGACGTGCGCCTGCCCGCTCTGCCCCTCGAGGGCCGCTGGGGTCCCACTGAGACCAGCTGGCGGGCCCTTCCCTCAGGGCCTCGCCTCCTGCCACGAGCGGGTTAGGCATCGTGTGTCATTTAGTCTCTCTAACTAAAGTCACGAGGACACAGTCGTAAGCCCCTCACAAACACCAGCATTTTATACCTCCGAAGCATCAATGAGGCGTGGCTACAACTGGCCTGAAGCTGCGCCCAGGATGTGGCCGAGCGACCCTGGGGCCGGAGCCCCTCTCTCTGGGCTCACGGACCCCACACCCACCTTCTGCACGGCCTTGCGCAGAATGTCCTTGTACTCGTCCTTTGTCACCTCCCTCTTCTGGTAGAAGGGCTTGATGGCCAGCTTCACCTCCTCCACAGCCCGCTCCTGCACGTGCAGCTTCTTCATGTACTAGGGGGGAGGACACTTGTGAGACCACTGGCCCCTGGCTTCCCACCCACCCACCCACCCACCTGCGCCAGTCCCTGGAGGAAGGAGGGGCGGGACTCACCTCCTCGTTCTTGGTCTTCTCCGAGGCTGGCCTGGGAGCAGCTGTTCTCTCCTCGGAGCTGTTGGCAGCGGCGGTGGTCACAGTGGCAGCATGACCAGCCGGCTCTGAGGCTGCAGTCAGGACGGTGGGCACCGGGGCCGGGCTCTGGGCCACCCCGCAGCCCATCAGGGGCAGGCTCCCCTGCAAGAGGAACTGGACCGCGGGCTGGCTGACAGGTGCGTATGGTGGGACACTCGAAGGCAGAGCCGGGGTGGGGGCCAGGTTCAGGCTCTGTACCTGGGCGAGAGCACAGCCCGCTTAGCCCCTGCAGAGCTCGGTGCCCCAGTGCCCAAGGCAACGTGCTCCCAACCCCCACTCCCGAACCACTAAAAGCCCCGGCAGAAAGGGGCTGGTGCATGAGGCCCTCAGCCCCAACCCGGCCCAGCTTGAGTGGCCTGAGCCCAACGCCACATCCCTGCAGGCCAGGCGCCCACCTGAGAAGGGTCAGCATCAGGAAAGCCAGGCTCTGGAAGCACATAACCAGGGGGAGGGGGCTCAGAGAAGGGAGCCTGCTGGAACGCAGCCACGGGGCCCGCGTCCTCGGTTTCCCGGGGCTTCTGCGGCCTGTGAAGCGGCGTCCCTGAGGGCCAACACAGGGGGGTGGGTGCTCTGTGGCCACGCCAGAAGGCTGTTTCCTGGCTGGAAAATTCCAGAAAAGCATCCCAGCAGCAAGGACCACAGGTCAGGCCGTGGCCATCTCCCTGCATGACCAAGGAGGCCCGTGAGCCATCCAGGGAGAAGACTCCGTGGTGGTCGCTCTGAGCCATCCTCGTATCCCACCCCATTGCCCCACCCCGCCCAAGCGCCTACTCACGCAGGCCTCTGTCCTCAGCCGGGGCACCGCTCTCCACCTCCTGGAGGTCCCAGGTGACTCTCTTCACCAGTGCCTTAACCCGCAGCAGGGGGTTCTGAGAGGGACCCTCCTCCTTCCCCGCAGGCGCCCCGCCCATGGCTTGGCCTCCCAGAGCGCAGGGAGCTGTGGCTGCCTCGGCCGCGTCCTGCTGGAGCAAGTGCTCCTCTCGAGGGCCCTCCATCCTGGGCAGGGGCTGCGCCACATCTTCACCGTGGATCCGAGACACCTCCCTGCGGATGATGGCCACGGCCAGGCCAGCGTCATGCTGCTGGCCAGCCGGGGGCCCAGTGGGCTTGGGCAAGAGGCCTCGCTCTGGGGAGGAGTCCGTGCTCTCCGGGGAGGGCGGGGAGCTCATGTCATCAAGCTGCATGAAGATGGCTTCGTTCGAAAAGTCCTCGAAGAGGTGCCCCGCCTCCACGGAGTCACCGTAATCCAGATCCTCAGGGGGGTACTCGGCTGGCACCTCCAGGACTGGGGGGACCTTTGTGGGGGGCTTGTCGGCCTCGGACCCCTCCAGCAAGGCGTCTGTTCCTGCCAAGGCCAGGGGCCTGGCCGGGGGCTCCCTGTCCGAACTGGGCTCCCCCTGGGGAAGGGGTGCCGGAGAAGCCTCTTTCGGAGCCAACTTCCTCTCCGGGGAGCGGGGGCGGGGCCGTGGGCGCTTCTCACGGGACCGAGGCCGCCGGTGCTCCCGGGGCCTGTGCTCGGGGCTGGGTGACCTGGACCTACGCCGCCTCCTCTCCCAGGAGCCTCGCCTGTCTCGGAGCCGTGCGGCACTCTCCCTGTCGGGCCGCTCCCTCCTCTCCCGGAGGTGCCTGGGCCTCCGGGCTCTCTCCAGGCTGCTGTGGGGTGAGCACTCCCTCCCCCGAGACCAGGACCCCGACCTCCGCCTCTTCTTCCTCCTGCCCTCGCGATGCTCGTGGGAGGAGCTGCCGGGGCTGCCAGAGCGGGAGCGGGACCTCCGCCGGCCTCGGCCCCAGGAGCCCCTCCTTCTCTCCCTGCTCTTGTCCTTGGCCTTCCTCCGCTTGGTGCGCTCGCGGCTGCTGGAGCAGTCGCTGGAAGACCTCCGATCCCGGGCCTTGGGCCGGTGCCTCTTGGCCTGGTCCTCACCTGCCGGTGGCGACGCAGACCGCGAGCTCCTGTCCCCCGAGTGCGACGAGCGGGACCCTGAGCGGGCCCTCCGGTGCTCCCTGGTGGCGACCCTCGGCCTCTGGGCTTTCTTCCCACCGTGGGAGCTGGACCTGGAGCGGGAACGGGTGGGGGACCGCAGCTCCACGACCCTGTGGGTGGTCGCGGGCAGGGCGTCCGGACTGGGTGGGGCGTCCGGCTCCACCGCAGTCACACAAGTCACCGTCCGCCCCTCTGAGCCAAAGAAGGAGCTGCGGGGTGGTGGGTCCTCGTCCCCCCAGGGCTCTGGCGGGGACGGCCTCTGTGCTTGTGCCACGGGCTCCTCCTCGCCCTGGAGCTCGGGCAGGCCGCAGGGCCCCTGGGGGGGCTCGGGCTCCTTCCCCATGCCGGTCTGCACCGTGTAGGAGGTGACGCAGCGCACGGGCGGCAGCACGGGGGCCTTGGGGCTGTCAATGGAGATGGTGCGCGTGATCTCAGAGGGCAGGAGGCCAGAGCCCGGGTGCTCGGGGCTGCTGCTGGCCGAGCTGGAGTCAGAGCCCGTGGGGTTGAAGGGGTCATAGATCTCGCTCTTGAGCTGCTTCGTCTTCCTGACGGAGAAGAGGGGCACAGGGCTCTCTCTTCTCTGCACCTTGCTGTCCACAGGCCGGAACGTGTTGCAGAAGCCGGGGCTGAGGACTCTGCCGGAATGGGCTGTGTTCCCAGGAATGTTGATCCTGAAGCTCTCGAAGGTGGAGCCGACACCCTTCCCCCGGGAGGGGCCCAGCGGGGCAGGGGGCTGGGGGCCGCCCCCCGAGCGCGTACTGGGCTCCTGAGCGCCCCTGCTGCTGGGCTCACCCTCCGCCCTGGCGCCACAGCCAGGCTGCCCGGGGCCCTCCCTGCCCGTCAGCCGGCTGATGCAGGAGCTGGGAATCTCGACTCTCTGCCCGCCGGCAGGGACCTCGCCCACCCGCCTGTCGTCTCTCCTGATCTTTGGTATCCTGGGGAGCTCGGAGATGTCCGTCCTCCTGGGAGCTGGTCTCGGGGCCTGTCCCAGCACCGTGCTCTCGGAAGGCGAGTTAGAGCTACCATTCGAGGTCTTCAATGCCGCAGACCTAAGAGGCGGAGGGTGCTTGCTGTCGCCGTTAAATCGGGGGCCGTCACTTTGTTTTAAGCTGGGTCCGCTCACGCTGGACAAGGTCTGAGCCTGGCCTGACTGAAGGGTCACCAAGGAGTCCAGTCTCACAGCTGCCCCCAACGTGAGCGCAGGGACATGGGCGGGGGTGGGCGGGGCCGGGGGTGTGCCTGGGGTAGCCCTGCCTGGACAGCTGGACCCCAAGCTCTCTGGCCCGCTTCCTGACTGAGTCTCTCTGGGCTGCAGGCAGGCCCCAGACCCAGCGCCTTCTGCCCCTCTGGATGAACCAACTGAGTTTCGCTGAAAAGAAACTGGCGCTAAAAGACAAAAGGCAAACAGCCATCAGTCCCCACCCCC